CTAGGAGCATCCTTACTACTAGTAACAAGAAGCTACTAGTAACAAATAGCCGCTACTAGGAGCAAGAAGCTACTAGGGGCTCCTGGCCTTACTATATACTAGGAGCAAGGACGCTACTACGGGCTCCTGGCCTTACTACTAGGAGCAAGGACGCTACTAGGGGCTCCTGGCCTTACTACTAGGACGCTACGAGGGGTTCCTGGCCTTACGCCTTGCTACTAGGAGCAAGGACGCTACTAGGGGCTCCTGGCCTTACTTCTAGGAGCAAGGACGCTACTAGGGGCTCCTGGCCTTACTTCTAGGAGCATGGACGCTACTGGGGGCTCCTGGCCTTACTGCTAGGAGCAAGGACGCTACTAGGGGCTCCTGGCCTTACTTCTAGGAGCAAGGACGCTACTAGGGGCTCCTGGCCTTTACTTTACTACTAGGAGCAAGGACGCTACTAGGGGTGCTCCTGTAACAAGAGGCTAGTAGTAACAAATGGACAGTATTAGGAGCAAAGGGCATCGCTACTAGGAGCAAGCACGCTACTAGGGGCTCCTGGCCTTACTACTAGGAGCAAGGACGCTACTGGGGGTGCTCCTGTAACAAGAGGCTAGTAGTAACAAATGGACAGTACTAGGAGCAAACGGCATCACTACTAGGGCTCCTGGCCGTACTACTAGTAACAAGAAGCTACTAATAACAATTGGAAATGTTTCTTTGGTGCAAAGACAGTTCCGATCCGAGGAACTGGATCAGAACACAACAAGTACCGGGGCTAAGCATCGGCTTCGTTTCTGCTTTCCAAGCGGTTCTTCGTTTCAAAAACTGGAAAACCTTCTTTGATGGTCTCCGCAATGCGTGTTTTATCTGCACCTAAGTTTCCAGAAATTCGTGTCAAGATGGAGCAACTGGTGAAGTGTTACATGTGCGTCGATGTTCATCTAAACCGTGTCAGTTTGGTTTCCATCTGTCTTCTGCATGTTTTCGCTCCTACCTCTGTGCTCATGAAGCGGATGCCGCTCCAAAACTCATGTCGACGCACGTCAAGTACTTGGTGCAAACGTGTGGCACGTGTGGCATCGAAGTTGTCCAATGAGTTTTTTCGATGGCTTCGATGCAAAGGAAGAAGCACGACAACTCTTGAAAGAATTCGTTTTTCCCCAGCGCAACCCCTTCAGAACTTGACTGCTTGTGTTCACCTGCTCAATTCTACTTTCATCCAGCCAAAATGCTCAAGTGACCGGCAAGAAAAAACAACACACAGAAAAAACATGACAAGTATGAAAATGTCGCGAATGAAACCTGTGAATGCAACAACATTTCCGCGTGTTCAGGTCACCAACGTCACACGCTGTGACTCTGCTGGCTTAACACAAAATTTTGATGGGACTTTTTTTTTTGCACGGGTGGAGCCGCCATTCATGCAGGAAATGCATAGGTCAGCTTGTGCTGGTTTTGAAAGAGTCTCTTGCATGAAAAACCAAACAACAAACACCACACAAACACAAAACACCACCAAACAAAACAACCAACCAGCAAAGAAAGCAGGAGACTGTGTAAATGCAAGGTGAAGCCGGTGTGAGACATAAATCGGGCGTAATTAGTGCAAAAAGGCTGCATGAGAAGCCTGGAGCCAAGTCGAACTTGCTGAGACAAATAGGCCTGTACGGGTCGGGCAATCAGATCAGACCGACTTTAACTTGCAAGTCAGGGGACATGGTTGATATTTTAGGTGCGTTTCTGTCTTATGCTCACAATGCATGACTCTGGAAAACCACTGTGACAAATCGGCTCTAACGCGCCAAACGAAAGGGCAGTCCATCGCCAGCAGTGCGGCCCACGTGGCTGATCGGTGAAACTTGGCTGTCCTGAGATGGAGGTGGCTGGGACAGTGGTGCTCCTTACTGCCTCGCAGTCACGCACCTCCCTCGCACAGGGGGGTGATGGTGTCTCACCATGGTGCCCCTCTGAACTGCTCAACGAGGGTGGCCTTCTTCTCACATTGTGGACATTTTAGCGGCAACCTTGTGGGACATGGAGACAGAGTGGACAGGCTGTCATTCAATGCATCATGCAGCGCACTTGTGAAACTGGTGAAACAAATCTGGGACGGAATTTGCTGCACACTTTGCACACGGCTGGCAGGGCTGAAGCCCATGGACAAGGACTAAGGTCCTCGCCAGGGTTCCAGCCAATTGGGCCTGCACTGCAATTGCGCAGCCTCAACACCAAGTGCACAGAGAGGTTCCTTGAAAATGGGCTTACATGTCCAGCAGAGTCATGTGGTCCTCTCCAACACCCCCGCAGTGCAGCAAACTGAACTGTTCGTCCAAGTCACCCCCTTGGCGCAGGGTCTTCAAGGGATGCATGAATACCATATCAGCTTCTCCCACTGGTCGTATGTCGCGGCCTTCTGCCTGCCTCACCTGCACGGCTGGGAGTTTGACCGGCTACTGCAGAGACCTTTTGATGAAGTCCATATTGGGTGTCAAGTAGGCCGGGTATATCGCATGATTCCACAAGAACACGACCAGGCTTTTGCCATGCTGGTGGTTCTGTTGGAACTTGTGCCACAAGCCAAGAAGAAATCGAAGAAAGAGGTGCCAGAGGCCCATAGGGACAAAGCAGCGCGCCAAAGTAGTCCACTGTCGCGGGAGGTTGCGTATATTCCGTTCCCTGAAAGCTTTGCACCTCTCCCTACGCAGGAGTCTTTCTGCACGTTCATGCATTCTCAAGATCGAACACGGCAGCACAATCGCAAGGCGCCTGATAGACCGCAACACATGCCTGTGCGCCTCTCAGCAGTCCTACATGGCTCCTTGAGAGCCTTTCGACATACTTGACTCACTGTGTCTTTCACTGTCTTTCTTGGCCTTTCTATGGCTCTGGTGGCAAAGCTGTTCTCGAGTCATCGTTGCCATTAGATTGTGAGCACTCCCGCCTCCCTCCTGGGGGGGGGTGGTAGACCGGTAGAACGTCACAATCAGCACAATGTAGGATGGCTCCACTGTTTCAAGCTCTCGAAGATTTGCAGTCCTCGATTGGTGACACAGTTGTTTTCCCTGAGCCGAGACTGCTCCCCTTACATGCGATGTGTTCGTACTGCTGGAAGTTTGTGAATGGTGCGTAATTCGCTGTCTTTTGACTGGCCGTCAAGCTGGCCGCATTCGCACCTGCATTCTGTGAAAGCTTCGCCAAACCCTTTGAGAACAAGGTATACGGCCACGTTACCTGCCTGTTTTTGCATCAACACCCACATGAATTCGAGCTCTGGGTGCAAGTCTTAACTTCTCCCTGCGGAGGAAACATAAAAGAAAACATGAAAGGACAGGAAGGTCATGTACTGAGTGCCAAGGCTGAATTCATTGCCCCTAGTTTCACTCTGTCTCACCGCTTCCTCGGCTGTCTCAGCCTTCTTGAGGTACGAACCTTGCCTTCTTTTCTGGTCGGGTTTGTGTTGGGTTTTGGGGTGTTGTTTGGTCCTTCTCGGTTGGTTGCTTGGTTCGTATCTCTCTCCTTTACTAGCTAAAGGTGACTTGTGCACAACCTGCACACACAGCGCCTCGACTCGTGCAAAAAAAAGATGCAAGGCCCTAACCAGCCTTGTCCTCCCAGGGAACCTTCGTTCCATAGGCCACAGAGCTTTTGGCACGCACTGCACTCTCCAGTCAAACCTACTCCAGAAACAGGCGAGGTGCGTGGAGGCGCCCATATGCGGCCTTTAATGCCTTTGAGGAGTGTTTCAAGCTTGATACCCCTTGGTGGCTCCACTACATACCCCCAAATGGGAGTGATTGGATGGCCCCACCTAGTCACCATCCGTGATTGCCATCCCCTGTCAATGGCGGTAGGGCGGGTAAGGGCGGTTACCCATGTAACCGTCCCTAGTCACCGTCCTCAGGATGGTCGTATTTTGTTTGTTTATTTGCTCCTTCTTGTTTGTTCTAGCTTTTTCTCTGATGGCTTTCATGTCATGGCTCAAAGGGACAACCGGACTGCATTCCTCCCCGCGATGATTGAAGACATTTCGTCACAGGACAGCTCACTGGTGAGTGAAGAACGATCACTAGTGTTGCGTCTGGTCCTGACTACCTTTGCTGGTGAGGAACTACAGTTGTCCATAGACCTGCAGGAGTTCGATCGACTTAATGAGTTCGAGACTGCAGTACTCGAGAATATTGGGGAGTGCAGCACCTTCGGACGCGAGCTTGACTTTGTACATAAGGACACCCAGGAAATTCTGACTGACCCTATTTGGGACACCCTAAGAGACAACAACTGCTTTAACCTGATCGTTCGCCAGTGCCTTGCTCAAGCAGAGCACAAAGGGCAGTTGAAGAACCGGGTCAGGGCCATTCGAGTCCCGTCCACCAGCATTGACCGGGTTTGCCACATGCTTTTTTGTTTTTTTTCCACGAGTGCGGACGCCGTGTGGGCGGTGTGTCCAGGTCATCATTGAAAGTATGGAGACACTGCAAGTTGGTGGGGGAAGAAAACCAAAAACACCAAACCAAAACCCAAAAGCCAAACAACCAAACAACAAAACACAACCAAGGCCCCCAATCCAATGTGGGCAGTGTTTCCTCTGTACTAAAGTGAGACAGGTGAAAAGTTGACGAGCTGCAAAATACCTAAGGGCCTGAATTCACTACGAAAGGCAAAATGCTTCTGATCGTGGGCGAGTGTTCTGACTGGCCAATCAAAGTGGCCTCTCTCCATTGGCTAGGATGAGATCATCCAAGCCACATATGGTTTTTGGCACACGAAGTATCTTGACATTACGCAAGGTGCCAGGAGCAAAATCAGCAGTGAAATGATGACAAATGCCACAGAGTCATCGGTTGCAAAGCTTGGCAAGCCGTGGAAAATTCCCTTTCCGTAGCACAACCCATATTACTGTCTGCACGTACGAAAAGCAGAGGCTAATCTTGAGTATGGCAGTGAAAGGCATTGCAACAAAGGAACTGCTAGATCCAGTGCTGATTTCCCTCCCACAAGGGAGGCACAACACACCACCCAATGGCTCCCACGCGTTAGCCAAAGGGATCACAGAGGGTGTTCACTCTTCCGTCTGATAGTGCGCTTTGGGGTCACTATCCTTCAACATGCATGGCCCATGTGAAACTGGTGAAACAAAGACCTATCCTAGCATGGTACTTGTGCCATCTTTGTACAAGATTGGCTGTGTTAGGCTCCCGCAGACGAGCAACTAAGGTTCTCACCTGGGCGCCATTCATCAACCACTCTGCTACCACCGGCCTCCCAAGGACCAAGAGCTAAGGCTCCCGGCTCACAAAGTTGCAGACGACGAAGACGAGAATGGCGCCGCTCTCTGCTTGTCGGAGCCTAATTCACTCTCGAACAGTGGAGAAGTGCGCCTTACGCTAAGCCGGACACGCAGCCACTGTCAGGAATCATATGCAACCACGGTGGCCATCGCATGGCTGGGCAAACAGCAAAAGCATTTTCTTCTGCATAAATTCCTCTCCATTTATGCCGGCCTGGGAGTTTGACAAGCCTACGGAGTGCGGTGCAGTCTTTTGTTTTTTGCACGGGTGGAGGCGCTGTGTGCGCCGAAAGGCACAAGTCACCTTGATTGAATTAAATAGAGACACTAAGGAGATACGAGCCAGGCACCAGAGCAAGGCACAACACCACAAAACAACCCAACAAACAAAAAACCCAAAACACAAACAAACAAAACAGCCAGGTTCGTATCTCAGATGAATTCGTTCTTCTACTTGCGCTCAGTACGTGATGGTCAGGCAACAACGATATTCCTTTCTGCGGGCAGTGAGGATCCGTATGGCAATGATGATCATCGCCCATGCGCGCGAAGGACACCCAAGAATGCGCAGAAGTGGTGGGAGCATTTACGAACAATCGCAGTTGCAGCTCAGCAATTTTGTGACTTATTTCCAAGAACACGGCCTTGCAGGCAACAGCTTCGGATTGGCACGCATTGACACCTGAATGGCAATTGCATTGGTTTCGCACCAGTATGTGGTACTTAGATTGCGACGGTTGAGGTTGAGACAGGTGACAATCAGGTTTGTCTCCGACTCACTGTAATCAAAATCCCGAGGAATTTGTGTGGAGAGCACGAGTTGCCCCCCCCAGCGGCAGCGAGCGCTGAATCTGGCAGCGGCCACTGATCCGAGCCTCGGCGTGAAGGGAGGAAAGGGAGTCAGGGACAAATCAAAGGGTCACGACGACATGACGAAATCGAAGCCCAATGCCAATTTTTTCACCTTAATACGACTCAGATCACTTTTGGATCTTTCACCAATCCATCGCAAGCTTGATCTGGGTGATCAGCTTGGCAACAAGCATCACAGGCCACCCATTGCCGCAGGCACCCATCAACTTCCTGGATGATGCACCCAAATAAACAACCAAAGGATGTCACTTGGAAGACTTCAAGTAAAACCACATGTTGCCAAGTCACGGTCCACTCACATCAAGGTCAATGGCCAATTGGTGCAAATCGTCAGGCAAGCCCATCAAACGAAGACGCTCCTCAGGTTGAAGGACTGAATAGACAGCTGGCAAAGTAGACCCTCAATCAATCAAGTTGAGTGCAGTTCATTAAGAGAAGCCAAATAATAACAAGCCAAGCATCAACCCCATTCAAAGGCCTGTTGAGCTTTGTCAACCAAAAGCCACCACTGGACGCCCGTGTCCTTGTCAAGCAGGGTGTGGTCACCCTCCTCGGCTTGGGCTGATACTTCTTCGAATCAAGTCGTTGTCGGATGCTTGTATGGAGCAAAAACTACAGTCCAGGGGCCAAATCTGCTTTGATGGATCCCCACCAAGGGCCCTCACACCCTGCTCGCCATACTTGAGCATCTTCTTGGAATGATTGGAGAGCTGTCCTCACACTATTTCTATTGATTCGAGTTGTCATTCCAACTATGTTTCATTCAAAAACAGTAGTGGCAGCCCAGCATCCTCGAGAGTTCTTCTTTCCAAACTTCTTTGTCAAAAGGTATCGAAATGAAGTTCGCTTGGATGAGGGCTTCGGCCATGAAAAGCTCCTCCTAGGCCAATTTTGAAGGAACAACAGTTAGGACCACAGACGTCAAGCAACAAGAATTTTTGAAATCTGACTTTATTCAAATCCTTTCCGAGTCAAAGCTCTTCTGCCTTGATCGCCTCATTGCCACAATGAAGAGCCGCTTACGATCTTGACAATGGCCAAAGTCCTTGGGTAGACATGACACAGATCCTCCCCAGTGTTGAAAAATTCGAGCAACTTAGTCCCAATAAATTAGATGGAGCCAAGTGTCAGCAGCATTCAGGATAGCTGGATAGATTCGATAGAATTGTGTCCCATTATTATCTTTCATATTCTTCAGCCTGGTCCAATGTTATTCTTAAAAGAGAATTGCCATCATCATCACTGTTTTGAAACTAAATTTTAAGCCAAGGAACGCCTTGATCATCCGGTCATAGATGCTCACTTTCAGCTTTTTGTTTTGAATAACATGAGGCACTTGCTCAAGCAATATTGTGCTCGGCCTCTGAGTCCTGATGTAGTCCAGTGTTGCTACCAGGCATCCAGTTCTTGGATCTGCCTCAGATCATGTCAAAGCCATGCGCACCAGTCCCAAAGAAAGAACATCACCTGGTTTTAAAGCCATTCAAGTTACAAGCCCCCTCTTTTTCCCTGCTATGGAAACTCCCTGGCATGGTGGGCCAGCTCCGTAGAGATCAACATGTGGTAGCTTCCGAACATCACGCTTCATGGCATCCTTAGTCAAACAGCTAAGCTAGTCACCCGTCATCTACAGAACCAGGACAACATGAATCAAGGGCTCTTTAAATACCAGCTTGGGCTAGTGGACCTTCACCGCCATCCTCCTTAAGGAATCGTCGATCTCGCTCATGAACTCCAATTTGTGTGGAATCTTGGCTTTCCTGAGTCGATGGGGGCTGACGGATGGGGAGGTTCATGAAGACAACTGTCAAAGCTTGCTCATTGTCATGAGTTTTCTAAATAAAGTGGAGGTTCGACGCCGCCCAGCTCAAGCATTCCAAGCCAGAAAAATCCGATCCCAAACGTATCCCAGGCATTGCTGGGACTGCACCCGGACACATCCCAACTTTGAATCTAGTATGTAGGCGGATGTAAGTGGCAGCTCTTCAATGACAATCATGCACCAATGTTGAACAGCCAGGGATGAGACGGCAGTCAATGTCAAGGTGAAGACATCACGTTTTTTTGCTGGTTGCGACTTTAGTTGCTCAGGTGACACCAACTAGGCATCTTCAAATCAAAAGAGTTGCCCACGTCCCTCGCACATTCCCCGTATTTTGATGATCACTGTTTATTAAATTATGATCAGTGTCTCAAAGGAAACCATGCATGTGATGGGGACAGGCCATTAGATGGTGCTCAAAAATTGAGTGATTCTCACTCAACTCAACCCCTCACCATCCACCCAACTGCTCAGGCCGAGTTGGCCGCCAACTTCCTGAGCTTTGCTGCCGCTGATCCACCCGAGGCCTGGGAAGCAATGACGGGTGGATCCAAGACAGTGACAAGGGGATGACGCGCATGTTTTGCAAAACCTGATTTACACTTGGTTGGTGTCCGTGACTGATAGACCTGTCAGCGTTTGGGTGGAACATGTTGAAGTTACAAAATAAAAAATAACCATCAATGCAGCCACGAGCACCCCATGTTCTTCCTTTGGCTGCTTAGGCTTGCGAGGCTTCTTCTTGGGTACCACAACCGTAACCTCACCATCCTCAGCTTCCGGGGCCTCCTCAGCATCAGCCCCACCCTGGTCCTTTGGCTTCCTCTTGTTGTCAGCCTTAGGTTTAGGTTTTGGCTTGCCTTTAGGCTTTAGAGCAGGCTTTCCCTTTGGTGAAGCCTTTGGCTTTGGTGAAGTCTTTGGCTTAGGCTGGCCTTTGGGCTGGCGTTTAGGCTGGCCTTTTGTTTTTGGTTTTGGTTCTCCCTTCTTAGCTGCCTCCTCCAGAATCTCTTTCAGTGGATCATCTTCCGGTGCTGAGGTGTGCTCCCCATCCGTGTTGATCCAGCTGCCGTCATCATGATCACTTCCATCCTCCATGGCTTCATCTTCAGCATCTGCACCATCGTCGCCATCGTCATCTTCATCATCCACCTCTTCCTGGTCATCATCCTTGCCTTTCTTTCCCAACTGCTTTGTAGCCTTCAGGACCTGCATCAGCTCTTGGCTGAACAATGCGTCCTTCGGATCCTGCATGGCCCTGAATACTTCAGCCTCCAACCATTTCAGAAGCTCTTCCTCCTCAAGTGCATAAATGAATGAACCCAGTCATAATGAAACCAAAGTTCAAAACCAAGTGACACCAAAGTTCAAAAAAACAGCACCACTTAGACCTTTAAAGTCAAGGCACATGCGTTTTGGTAAAGCAAAGGCCTATGTAAGGTAGGTTGCGGCGGATAGCAACAAGTGCCAGCTTTCCATCACCTCCCAAGTCAATTGAATTAGAGGTTTGATCCATGCCGGTGCTATTTATCTGAAGAAAGTTGACTAAGACACTATGACAGCAGCTGGGCCTGGGCTCAAATCGTTGATGGCGCCAATGGCGTGAGACATCACAAGTTCATCCATAAGCGAGTATGGGCCAGAATGGTAAAAAACCGGTTCCAAAGCACTGTCAAGCTTCCTCCCCCCAGCGCTGGCACCATCTGGGTTGGGGCCGCCCACTGCCAGGCGATTCTTTCCATATAGATCTTTTTTCATGCCCACACTTCTTGGGACCAAAATCAGAATTTCAACCATGACAACTTCTTGACAATTTCATTGTTGAGTATTTTGGCAAAGGCACAGGCGCCATACATGGCCATCAAATCCCGGCGTGAAAACATCAGAGATCGTATCACCCCTGTTGCTGCCCTTGTAATGCAGCCTCGTTGCATCAAATACTTCTCCAATATTTAGTGATTTAACTCGTACTTGATTGACATTGATGTTTGATGGTTATTCCCAGGCACCGGGATTTTTTGAGAATCTTGCAGGAGGAAGGAGGCATCAAGATATGGATGTTCTCACACTGCTTCACTAGGCTGATGACACCCTTCACTCTGTCCTTAGTTTGTTTTGAATCCACAGACCCAGCTCAGGGACAGGACATGGAGACACATGACAATGATGGGAAGATGGTAAGCAGGACCAAGCATCCTTTCTTTGCATCAATGAATCCTCATCATATACGATGGTGAGGCACCGCTCCGACTTCTGCACTACTTGCTCCCCCACACGGATGTTGCAAAGGTGGCACTTGTTTCCTGCAAGTGTTGACTGGCTTGTAATACTAATTTTGATGAATTCCATCAACTCTATGAAACCAAAATTGTGCAGCTGTCCTGGGCGCCCACCATCATTCATCAACATGATGTCCGAGTCATTCCAAGTTGGTGCACCGTCAGGGTTGGAATGGAAACGTGTGCGCCTAATATTGCAACCAAGTTCAACTAAGTTCCAATGAACCTTTGATTGAACAGTGCTTTTTTTCAATAATTTTAGGCGGGCAACACAATGGCACTGATCAACTTGGGCATCCTGTTGTCCTTTAGAGGAGGCAACCGCAAATGAGGGGATGATTGGGCCTCTGAACATAGCCGAGTCAAAGAAGTGGCCACAAAGAGCAGTGCAGTATGCTTCCCCTTCTCCAGCACCATGGTTTTTCCTTGGGTAGGCTGAGAGCTCAATCAAATCAACATCTTGTTGATGCAGTTGACCAGGAATTAAAACAAGGAACATGTACAGTAAAAATAAAACACCAAGGCACTTCTCATCAGCATATCCTGCCAAAAATGAGGACATGTAAAGGTCAACCAGCTCATCCTCTGTCGCCGGCTCAACTATCAGTTTGACCGTTGTGGCGACCTGGCTGGACAACAATGCAAAAACAATTTAATCATCAGTTCATTAAATTAAAAGTTGAATGAGCAAATAAATGAACTGAACAACCCGAACCTTCCGTTGCGCTGCCTTCTTGAACTGCAGAACTTGCTCCCGAAGCTTTGCTGCCTTTGCAGTCTTGTTCTCAGGCGCAACTTCAGGCTTTTCTCCAACAAGCATGTGTTGGAATCCGTTGTCTTCCTCTTCCTCCTCCTCTTCTGATGCACCCTCCTGGAGTAATAGGTTTCACTACCAGTTGTTTTGATTTTCATGCAAAGTGAAAGTGCTTAAATAAAATGAGTGTGGTTTGATGCCAAGTGAAGTTCAAGTCCACCCACACCTCCAGGTCTTCACCAGCACCATCAGCAGCCTCAACAACGCTACCCATCTCCTTTAGGAGTTGTTTCCGGCTTTTGGCTTCTGCAGCATACTGCTCGTCCACCTTTTTGATCTCCTCCTTGAAGGATGGGGTCATGGTGAGGTATTCAGCCATTGCCCTTCTGTTCTTCACCAAGCTCACCACATCTGTCCAGTAGTTGCTTGAGAAAACCACTTCCTTGGTGTTAAAAGGTCTTGAAGTCTTTTTGGTTCTTTTCTGAAATCTGCACAACATTAACCGCATTAACAACGTCCAGGGCACCTCAAGAAATTGCCAAAAGGTTTCGGCGCTTGATGGCCAACCCGCTCTCCAAGATTGCTCCCCCATCGCTTTCCTTAAAACTTAGAGAATGCAATACGTTAAAGGCTCATGTTTGGTGAGTGGATTCCTGGCCAAGGCACTTGCGGAGTCGAGGTGGTCCCGCCAAAGTACCTCCCGAACCAATGGGCTCCAGTCAGTATAGTCAGCCTCCATTTTCTGGATGAGAAGCTCCAAAAGGGACTTCTGCGCAAGCACCGCAGCACAGGTTTGGCTTTGCAACGATCGGGCTGTCAGCTTCTCCGAGCACAGCCAAGAGTTCTTGTGGCCATCATGCCTGAGTGAGGTCAAAAACAAGTGGTGGCCAATCAAACTTACAAGAAGTTGTGTAGTATCTAAATTTTATAGATGATGGTGAGTATTGTCATTGCAGTGTTTCTGTTAAGTCAAGTCAAGTCACACCCCGGCAAATACCCAACGAATCCCATCCGCAGATTTTCCTTTCTGAATCAATATTTGGAATTTGGACCAGTGAGAAAAGGCACCACCATCGCCCTCCTCATTGGCCTCCAAGAGCAATTTGCTCAACGCAGGATCAGAAAGCACCTGGCGCAGGCACAGTTTGAACAGTGGGGCTGGGGCTGGGCCTTGGCTTTGGGAAATCCAAAAATGCAAAACAAATTAATTACCCCTTAGGTAGATTCTTGATCCTTTGAACAATCTTCTTGGGTTCACCAAGTCACACGATCCCCCATCGTGCACGCCGTGTCGATGAATGATGGACTCACCTTATAACCATGGGTTTGTGGTCAGTCCACCAGCCAAACTAAAGGAACACATCAGTCAAGCTTAAAGGAACATCTCAAAAATAATATGGAGCTGAGAAGCTGCATCCTTGGGTGAAGCCCATTTCACATGTTGTTCATAAAGCTCTGCAAGAGCAGCCGAAGAGAGCTTAGTGCCTTTGGCCTCTTCCAAGGATGATTTGAAGACCAAGACATTGAAAAAGTTCTGCAATGGTGAAAGGCCAAGGGTAACTCCATGGAGCTCGATATTTTGGCGTTCTTGTACCGCCAATAGGTGAAGCCTTGGTGTTTTTGTATCAAAGGAATTTGGTTTGTATCAAGGCCTAAGCCACAGTCAGGAACCAACTTTGTTTCTACCAAAGCACTCTTCAAGTGGGCAATCCTTGGAGACATATTCATAGCTGACAGTTAAGAAGTGCCGGCGCCAATCCTGCATTTTTTGCTCATCAGCGACGTCCCGGAAGGCAGCCAATGTGAACGCCAGATCAATCTCGAGGCGAGACCAGCCGTGCTTTCTCAAACTGTCCCATTGGATCCAGCTGCTCACTATCAGTCTTAGTGAGGCTGTCGGGTGTGGTTCCAATCCTGAGATTTTGGATGGATGGTGTTAAAGTTGTATGATCATCTTCAGCCACCAATTTAAGTCAAGCCTCGGCGCAAAGCATCGCATAATCTTGGGGTATGGTGCTGGCTGCTTGAAATGGAACTCCATCAGCTTCTCGATTGAAGACTTTTTCATCGGGGTCTTGGTCATCAATCAAATGAGAGGTTCCATTAATTCCAACAAGTATCAATACAACAACTTCTCAACCTACTTTGCTTGTCTTAACTGATTCTGGTTGCGTTAAGGCACCCCTGGGCATGGGCTCCATTTGAGATTGTGCTTGAAAAAGTTCTGGCCACACTTGTACCTCTTGATCTGGTCATCAGTATTGGACATCGCCTTGAGAAAGTGACCACCATGAAAGGGAGCCTCCAGTCAAACACAACAAGCAATGAGAATCACTGGATTTCATGCTTTTGTTGTGGTTTGTCCAGCCTCCACACCCCCCTCAGAGACCAAAAGTGGATCTGCCGTCATGATGTCCGGCCAGAGGTCCAACAAGCCCAAGCATGCAGTCTTGAAGTCTTTGAGCAAGTCTGCATTCCATTCCTCAACCATTGAAATTGACATTTTTCATCATGTTGATGTTTAGTGAAGTCATTGAAATGTCAAAATTGAAAGCTGAGAATCAGCACCACTAGTAGCAACCTTTGTGCCAGCATCAGATGCATCACAAAGTGTCAGGCTGCTGCTGGATTTTGTGCTCCCAGTGGATGTCTTCTTTGAGCGCCCCATCCGGACAAGGACGCGTGGAAACTGGGCAGGGTTGACAGGGCGTTAGCGATAGCGAATTTGCACCCCTTACAACACTCCAGACCGTTAGCGATAGCGAATCATTGTTCCTTACAGCAGTGCCAGGCGTTAGCGAATTAGTTCGGGACCTGCAGCTAAGTAGAGAAGGGGCCAACCGTCAACCTGGGGCCTTCAAGGCTGAGGGAGAAATAGGAATTGAAAGGTCAAGGCATGCCAAGATTGAAACCATATTTCACAATGTGCATTTAAGCGATGCACTGCTGTAACACTCTGCGAATTTCGCAACCTCTTACATAGCTCACTAACGATAGTGATCCATGTTGGGAACTTCCAACTTCGCAGGAGCAAGGAAAATCTTCTGCTGTAACTTTTTTTTACTACAACATAAGATTCTTGTCCCTCCAACGAAAAACAGTTTTCCCTAGGCTGGTCACGTGACACAGGGGGGTGATTAGAAATCGTCGCTGTCGAATCGAAACAGATAAGTCAAGGCAATCCGGGCGCCGCGTGGTAGAAATGACAAAATTTCCCCACAAGCCTTTTCCTTTTGCACAGAGATCCGTCACGCACTCGTTGAGAGCGGTGTCAAGATTGTCGGAGAGGCTGCGTGGAGGAGCTGTCGACAGTTGCAAATCGTCCACTTGCCAGACACAGTCGTCAGCCTATTGCATGGCGCTTTTAGCTGGTGCCAAATTCTACGAGTAGTAGTTGCCCCCGGTTGCAAGCATTTCGGCACTAAAGTATCGAAGAGTGTCGCTCCTTAACGAGGGTGGGCACGGCTCAATGCCCTAGCAATCGGCTAGCCCCCCAAGCCCAACTGAGGCCTCGAGCTTTTCAAGCATGCACAGCTCTGAGTCAATTTAGGTACGCCAGAGCCGGATGCAGCGCGCCCAAACCGATGCTTGCCGAACTGCTGTTTTCTGGAGGCGGGCATTGTCGCACTTGCCTTGCCGACAGACTTCAACAAGATAGGCTCCGCCGCCTGTGCGAGCCGCCAACAGCTGCAAACTGTTGATCTGTCCCAAGCAGACGTGCTTGAGATTTTGGGCTCCGCTTTCGCACACTGTTCGCAGTTGCAACAACTCGGCCTTTCCCGCAATTTGAAGATCACGGAGCAAGAAGCCTTCCTCAAGTGTACCTCTCTACAGGAGGTTTCCACTCCACCATCCCTGCTTTACATGGCGCGACGCGCTTTTGCAGGTTGCACGCAACTTCGAGCAATATGCAAGCAAGGAAAAAGTAAAACATTGCGAGGGACATATGCCCGACCCAATGCCTTTGACAAATGTGAGCAACTCGATCAGCCCGAATGGCTCCGATTTTTGCCGGCCGATGCCAATGATTTATGGAGAGAAGACTTTCTAGAACCTGCACCAAAGGCCAGCAATGCTTCCGCGGCGGGAATGGTGCATAAGCACTCCGCCAGGAAGCTACGTCAAGTGAAATTTGCAAACATTGAGTAGAGTCGCCAACTTATTTTCGCCATTCGCGATACAGTGAGCCAATAGGAATGAGAGCCTCAGCTCCTCGTTCCCAACAGGCGGGTGGTAGAGAGTGGCAATGGAGGATGCCCAGGGGGAACCTTAGTTCCCTCTGTTGATGTCCGACATCACCAATTTTGCGCAAAGAGGCACATGCACGCAACAGAACAATGCTTTTGCAATGACGCAGCATTTCTCAAGGTTAGGGCACACCCCGTTTTGGCACCTTTGTGTGCGGAAGGGTGCCGAGATGACCTCCCTTCTGGGGGGGTGAGACTTTCGCACCCTTACCCGCAGGCTTTCGTCGTTTGCTGTGGCCGCCACTGCCTGAACACCACCAACTACTCTGCCTCTTGTATGTGCAACCAGTTGCAAGAGTTGTGCTGCGATCACTTGGGCAAGGATCAGACCTGCGTTAGAGCATACCAATGCCCGGAACTTGCATTGTGACCAGGTTTTTACCACTCTGCGCAGTGGGTGCTGTCACTGGTAATGGAGATGTGAAGTCCATTTGACAACTTCGTTGAGATTTTGCTGGAGCACAAACCCTCGCTGCCATGCTCTTCTTTCGTGAATTCAGGCCCATAGACAGTCAGCAGTCAGCGTCTCACTTTTCACCCTAGAACAGAGGAAATACTAATTGGTGGTGGAGTCTCGGCCTGTGGGCTGTGGTTGGTTTTGTTTTGTTTGTTGTTGGGTTGTCTTTGTCCTTTTCTCCACTGTATTTCCCTTCCTTCAATGATGACCTGGGCACCATGCCCACACGGCGTCCGCACTCGTGGAAAAAAAAAAGTGGAGGCAGGTGTGACATGCAGCAGGCTGACGCCCGCTCCTCCTGTTTGAGTATGTTTGTGTGCAGAGCCGTCAAATTGTACAAGACCATCATTGTCATGCCTAAGCCATGCCTGCGGACACAAAATTTCACTGCATACCAAATCCAAGTTAGGCTCGACGTTGCAGTTCCCTGTGCTATGGCTCTGTGCAAGTTCTTGCTGGCCCCTGCCCCAATGCTAGTCTAGTGGCCTTTGCATATTTCTCACGGCAAGCAAGTTCAATAAAACCTGCTTGAGAGAGCATCGAGGCAATTGAAGAACCAAGAACACTGTAGTAGGCTACGGTTAAGGTAAACACTATCTGGTTCTTCGATTGGAACGGGCAGCGCCGATGGCGACAGCACTTAAAACTGCTGCCGGGAGGGCATTTTTGCTACCCTTTTCTTGGCTGCTTGCTTTTCCTTGTGCAACGCATCTCGTTGGGCCAGGTACTCGTTGCGTAGCTTCACGTGGATCTCATGATGACAAAAGTTGCAAGCCTGGCCTCTCAGACAGCCTTTCGGAGAACCGAAGAAGGCGCATGGGCGGCATTCGGTAGGGTGCGCCCGCACCCCATGCGCTGGTGCTTTGTAAGAACCTGCAGCACAGAAACAAAAAGATCAAAATGTGACAAGTTTGTTCAAACACTTTCGCAAGCAATTGCGATGTTACCTGAAGAGTACTGGCTCGCTTGACGACGTTTTTACCTCCAAACAAA